AATTTTCTCATCCTGGGGCAAATCTTAGACCATAAGTGCAACTTCATGCTATCGTCTTACAGGCCATTCACTTCTCTTTTCTAGTAATATATTTAGACGATCCTAGTTCCTAGGAGCCACTGGGCATTCGCTTCGTACGATCAAACCAACAGAGTCTGACTCTGTCAGCTTTACCATTAATGTTTCGAATCTGATCCTTGTTGCTGACACCACACATTCAGCTGGGCGTTTTCAGTGCTGCGGATTTCAGTTCGTGCGTGCACCTTTCAAACGTAGCTCAGTGCTTAGGGCAAGACTACTTTTTCTCCAGGTCTTTGAATTGACCTGATAAAGAATTTTCCATCACGGAGTAATGATTTTCCAGCTGAATCAACTCTTTTTCGATCGGTCGAGAGTCAGACAGTCTTTTCGAAGCCGACATTCAAAAAGGTGTAATCACACTGCAAATTTGCATTAAAATCTATTTAAATCTAACGCCATGAATATGCAGTTGAGAAGACGGCGACGACAGCATGGCGCCGCAAACTAGAGCAAAGTAAGCAGGAGCCGTTAGAATAGACGTGAAAAACTATTACAAATTCTGGAAAGGTCTGATAACGAAGTACTAGTAACTGGGAATAAAGAAAGAAGACAGTGAATTAACTTTATCTAAAAGAAAGATATCCTGAAAAAAACCATATGAACTTATGAGTTTCCATGTTTAGCTCTGAAGAGCAATAATTAAAGATAATACGGTCGTCCATCTGAACAGGGAACCAGTATGCATGGGTACAATGACTATAGTAACAGGTGACACATAAAGCAAGGTGCTAGGTGCCGGAGAAAAACAAACGACAAAACAAGGTTTAGGCCATTTAAGCAATAAAAATTCGTTTGCTTCTCCTTAATAGCCAGCTAACGGTATGAGAAATCTCTGCTAGCACAACAACCACCAAAACGTTGATTGCAAGAAGCCAGCATACATGAAAAAAGGGAAGCTTACTTGCGCAACGATAGATGACGCGTCACCGACATTTGATGGCAAGATCAGTGTATTCGAGGTTTTAGCCAGACCGGTAAATGCCGCAACGTACTGTTCGGCAACTCGTAGTGCTGCTGCGTTGTTGCCTTCCTCAAAACTTCAACACTGAAACACAACAAAACTTTCGAGCTACCTACCTGTTTTGCCAAGGCAGCTGCGACAATTTCGATAGCCTGCGCCTTGGCGCTCGCTTTAGCACGAATGGCTGCTGCCTCGCCTAACGTAATTGAAAGTTATATTGACGTCTGAATTTAAAACACGAAGCGCATATTACCTTCAGCACTATTGATCTTCTGCTGTCGCTCTGCCTCTGATGCCAAGATCTTCGACAGTTTCTTTCCTTCGGCGACATTGATTTCACCTTGTCGTACGCCTAAATATCACTGAAGTAACAAAAATGTGATGAAAGAAAACTTTTCAAAATTATATGTCAACGAAAATTTAAGTATTAAGGCATAAGACCCATGCAAAGTACTACACTGCCAAACAGGAGTAAATATATGGGTAATCAAGGTAAAATTTTTACTCTGAATAATATAAATGGTTCGGTAAAAACCGTAAGCAACATATGAACCTGAGTGGTATCAAACTATTGGACTTCTGCAGTGGCAATGGCCTGTACATAATAAACGCCTTCTTTCACCACTGCCATGTACATAAGTATACTTGGCATTGGGGCATCTCACGCCAGCGTCAC